AAGTTCTTTTGGGTTTTTTTTTTTTTTTGAGAAATAATAAGATTATGTGTGGGCATTTACAAGAGTCCTCTAGGAAACAGATGGCACACAGTCACAGTCACACAAATTGTTAATTGAGGGGTTCCATTAAAGGAACCATTTGCAATGGGATGGGCAGGCAGATTTTTCGGAGAACGAGCAGGGGATGACGGAGTGCCGTTGAGCAGGCAGTGAGAAGAAGTATTCCTGCCTCTAAGCCTGGACAGGCAATGGGAAGCAGCATTTACAGGAACCCTGGAGGGGGCTGCCTGATAGAAGTTGTGGCTTTCATAGAGGGATACAAGCAATAGGAGGGCACCAGAGGAATGAATTTCTTACCAATTTGACCTCTTCTGATCTCCTCCCACTACCTCCAAGCATCAAACCTAGTTGGAGGCTAGAGCTTAGAAAGCCCACTGAAACATTCTCTACAGGGAAGTTTTCCAGGGCCCAGAGCAAAATGGAAAAGGAGGGAAAGTAGATCTGGAGGGTAAAATGGAAGACAACCGGAGAACATCACAAGGTACATAGTATTTTGCCTGACACCTAGATAGGAATTATAAGCATTACAATAAAGGGAAAGAATACACAGACCAGGTTTCAAATTGTAATTCCATCTTTGGGGGTTGGTTAGCAGATAATTCAAGAGGTCTTTAAGAAATGTTCCAAGCTTTATAAACTTTTGAAACATCTCATGAATATGTTTCAGTCTGCTTATTGTCCAGAGGATTTGTCCAATAACAGCCTTGTATGCTCAGTTGTACATGTTGCAAGTACAAGTTTAATGTATTGCTCCAAAATGTTGGGGGAAAAACATTAAGTGTGTAAGTCTGAGAATAAAAGCAATTCTGTCAACCAGTTCTTCAGTTTACTCCTTAATTTTGATAGAGCATTCCTCTACTGCTTTCTAAGAAAAGGGACATGAGAAGTGAATAAAACTCTGTGTATAGAGCTTATATAAATCTCTTTTGAGCTCTCATATATCTTACAATGTGTTGACTTCACCCTTTCATCTGACTGACAGTTTGGCTAGATACAGAATACGAAATTGGATATGTTTTCCTTGAGAACTTGTGATGCAGTGCTTCATTATCCTCTGGCTTCTGACATTGGGGTTACTGAATTTCGTATCAGATTGAATGTGAGCCCCCTGACCTTTTATTTTCTTTGTTGTCATTTCAGGAAGATTTTAGGATCTTCTTATTATCCTCAGTGTTCTAAAATTTTATGATGGTATGTCTTGGCATAAGTCTGTTTTCAACTGTCGTATTGCTCATTAAGTGGATCCTACTGATCAGGTAACAAATGTCCCTCAATTCTGAGAATTTGTGTTGTATTATTACTTTTATTTTTTTTCTTCTTTCTTTTAGCCCTTAAATTTCTGCATTAAGATTTTAGATATGATGGGCGAAACTTTTAATTCTCTTATTTTTCTTTTTGTTTCTTTGTTCTACTTTCTGTTCCCTAAACATTTCTTTTCCTATGGCATTCTATTTTTATTTTATGTTTACTCAGGTCATCATGTTTCCTAGGTTCATTAACAGAATAGAGAAGTCATTTAAGCAGCCAGTATTTAAAAGATGGTGAGAAGCTTGTCTCTATATCCACTGAATACATAAGAAAATAAAACGGCCGTAAGATACATAATGAGTAATATTTTACATAGAGAGGAATCAAAGTAGAGTGGACATCTACTCAGCTTCTGTGGTCTGCTCACCTCCTTTTGAAAACTGTTCCCTTTTCCACACTGTCATCCAGATGGTTCTCTCAATACCCACCATGATGTATAACTTTCTCCACCACTCACTTTCCCAGTCTGGGGTAGGGACCTGATCCTATCACAAGTTTTGTCTGGGACAGTTTTAAATTGGAACTGAGAAAGAGGCCAGTATTTTTCTGGACATGCAAACCACAAGGTCTAGAAATGCGCAATTCTTAGGAAACCCTGCCGGGTGAACCTGAGATCAGCAGAGGAGTTCTGCAGCAAAAACTAGCACAAATGCAGAAGCAGACACACAGAGAAAAGCAATTAATGGAGAAGGAGATGAAGTGTCAGAGGCATCAGGATCAGTTGTTTTCGAGCTAGTCACATATCTACCCTAGGGTCATTAAATTCTCCTTTTGGCTTAAACTAGTTTGAATTGGCATCTTTCTCCATTACAACAAAGCGTTTCAAACTAATAGGCTTAGTAATTTTTGATGCTTTCTAGGAACTAGGCAAGGTATTAGTGATCTATATACCCTTTTTTTTTTTTTAAGGTAGGCTTCATGCCCAGTGCAGAGCCCAACGTGGGGCTTGAACTCATGATCCTGAGATCAAGACCTGAGCTGAGATCAAGAGTTGGACCACTTAACAGACTGAGTCACCCAGGCGCCCCAGTGCTTTATATACTTTATCTCACTGAATCTTCACAACACCCTGTGAGGTTTGTAAAATTATTTTACACATGAAGAAACTTTATGGATCCAACTGCTGTATAATAGGCACCGCTATCTAGATGTTTCCTGCTATACACCAGCATGTTGAAAACACACCATTTCTCCATCTGTAAAATGGGGAAAGCTGTTCTCGCTGCCTGAACTGCTCTTCTCCCTACATACACCTAGCCAATGTCTTCTTCTCTTGAGGTGTCAGCTTAAATACTCTCAGAGAACACTGACCTGCCCACACAATCTAAAGTAGGTTCCTCAACACCACCTTATTTTTTTCACCAACAATGTAATTACATAGTATTTTGCATAGTTGTTTTCTTTCGCATGTTCCTGCACCAGACGATGAACTCCATGATGGCAGGGACTACATGGGCATTATTTGCCATTATAGCCCCTGTATCTAGCACAGCGCTGGCACTTGGAAATTGCTCCATACATGTGGTTGGATACCTAAACTATTTCTAAATATTTTCTTTTATGTATCTATGATGCTCTAGTCCACAACCTGCAACACCTACTCTTGCATGAGTAGTACAACAGGGCACTCTGCCAGGCCCCGCTGAGAAAAAGACACAGACAAAGATACAGCTTCTCTCCTGCAGGGGTTCACAGCACAGTGTGAGACTCAAGTAATTATAATATAAGAGGAGAAGACTTATAACAGAGATCTAAACAAAGTGCTATGGTTACAAAGGAGGAAATGATCGGGAAATAATTCAGGAAGTTCAAAAAAGGAAAGGAAAGAAAGGAATTGCCAGGGTTGCCATTCAAATGATTAGATTCTTTATGTCGTTATCCTGATATAGTTTTCCCCCATAACCCCTTTCAATTTATAAGACCTGGAGCAGAAGTCACAGCAAGTGACTTCTTGGGGTGGTGGGATACAAAACCATAATTCTTTGAATCTTACGGTCATCCCTATCATTTGGCTTATTTCCATATCACTTTGCAAAGACACTGAGTCTGGTTCCTGCCTCAGCCCAGGCTTCTCCAAAAAAGTCCAGGCCAGTGTTACAGGTCAAGCCTTTTTTTTCCCCACACTGCCAGATCTGCTTTCCGATGCTGAGATTAGAGGACAATGGCTTTGATCCCTTTTAACATTCAAAGAATAATGTTCTTCTTTCACAACACTGTCCCAAGTATTCTCATTACAATGGATGATTTTATGGGCAATCACCTGTCTGATGCCTATTTTCTCTCTCACTGATCTCTAACCTAGCGCTCCATCAATGCAGGTTACAGACTATTCCTCTAGCCATGACCTGGAATAGAGTTCTTCTTTCTCTACCTACCCATACATTTTTGTTACTTGTCAGGGACATTTCAAATCAAACCTTTCTTTGGGGTTTGCATGTGTATGTGTGTGAGTGACTGGGGGTAGACATGAAGGAAAACAAATGGCTTTGGCAAGCCGTCATTATCACCAGTAAAACCTACAAAGAAGGCAGCAGGAGGAGAGATGTAGATCCTATGTAACTGTGTACCTTTTTAACCTCAGAATCTTAAATATTTAACAACACCACCATGTAGTTATATCAGTGGTCCCAGAACCTAGACCCCCTTGGAAAAAAGGCTTTCCTAAAAAGACCCCATTGAAATGGAAAAGGCCAAAAACGTTGTCTAGTGTCCTGAATTTAAAGAACGATGAAATGAAAGATATGAAAGTGATTTCAAAATTAAAATATTTTCCTTTCAAACCAAAAACTGGCTTCATCTATTGATTGATCAAATATTAATTGGCACGCACCTGAGAGGTCAGGTTTGTATTTTGTTTGAGAGCCCCAGCTCTGACTGCAGATAGAATTCCGTCTTTGCCATTTATTAGTTTACTGTCCTCGTACAAGTTACTTAGCTTTGTGGGCCTTAGTTCCCTCATCTGTAAAATGGATATAAACATTAGAACTATATCACACGATTGTCATCAGAATTATGAATAGTGCTTTAGAGTGTCTGACACATCAGTCTAATTATTTTTAACCTTACTTTTCTTTCAGCCGTGAGATTAACATCAAATATCTTTGGAGGGCACTGAAAAATCCTTAAAGTGAAACTCTGAGTAAATTAAATCCTAAAATTGAGTGCATCCTGAATCTCTAAACAGGGGCATAGAAAGACGGACAACCAAGCACTAGTCAGAGCTCCAGCATGGAGAGGGGACCATCCCCTGCTACTCTGCATTCTCCCCGGTGCCTTCCAGAATGCTGAAGCCTTGCAAATTAGATGGGCCCCTCTACTTAAATTCGCGGTCACCTTTTTAAAGTCCTCCAAGGCACCGCAGGCCTGGGTCTCCGCCAGCTCTGAGCTCGCATGCCAGTGATCTTCAAAGGGCCCCTTATGGTCCGTTATACCGCCCTCTTCCGCCCGGACTCCGCTCCCTCGCGTCTTCCACCCCAGCGCCTCTCGCCCGCGGCGCCCGGCGAGCCCCGGGCCGGCCCCTCGCGCGCCAGCACCTCGGCGGGCCGCGCGGCGTCACTGCGCATGCTCCTCGCCGCGCGGGTGGGGTGCTGGGGGCCGAGAGGCGGGCGCTGGGCGTGGGTCGCGCTCGGCCGGGAAGGCCTCCGCCTGTCGCGGGCCACGCAGCGGCGGGGGAGCACGCTCCGGGGCGGCGGCGTCCTGGAGACCCCCGAGAGATGGAAGCGGCGGCGCCGGCGGCGGCCGAGGCGGCGGGGCGCGAGGAGCTCGGTGGGTGCTGCGTGCCGGCGGGGGCGGAGGCCGCGTGCCCTCGGGATGCGCCGGGGCTCCGGGCCGGCGTTCGGCCTCCGCCCGGGAGGCGGGAGCTGGCGCCGGGCCGGCCGCGTCGCGGGCTCGGGAGCGTCGCGGGTGGCTTTCCTGTAATGGTCGGGGCTCTTGGGGTCGTGGGTCTGGCACGGGTTTGAGTTGAAAACCGGCAGAGCAAAGCTCCCTGGAACGTGGGATGAGCCGAGGCTCGAGGAGGTGACTGACCCCGGGATGTCACCGGCGCAGGAACCAGTTGTCCAACCCGAGAGCTGGGCCGGCGAAAAGCGCGGCCTACGAAGGGCGTCAAACGGGTGTGCGTGCGTGTGTGAGTGTGTGTGTGTTTGTGTATGTGTGTGTTGGTGGTGGGCTGCGTTGTGTAAACAAGTCAAAGGCAAAGGAGAGCCTGCGCGGTGACGGTCCCCATTTCCTCCAGCGATGCTTTAAGGCTTTGCGATCGATGGCAGCAGCCTGGCTCCCAGTCCCAGCCAAATCCTTAATTTACCCGGTGCCACCCCAGGAGTGGCGAGCGCGCCGTGCTGACCTGTAGCCAGCCCGCTTGCCGAAGTTTGTTTTCCTGTTTTCCTCTGTCTCTTATCTCCTTGGCGACAGGGCATGTACAACACTGTTTATGGTTTCCTGCTGTCAAAAGGAAAACAAAAGCAAGGGTTGGGGTAGTCATGTCATTGTTCTCCCTAGTTGTACGAATAATATTTAGGAATATTTTTAATTCGATGCTGAATAATTAAAAAAAATTTAACGTTGAACTTTAAAGAAACACTTCAGTATAGTAATTAATAGGTTCGTGTTCCTGTAATAATGGGCAGGGCACTTTGCAGGTGATTTCTTTCAGGTCCTAATAATGGTAGAAAGAAACTTAGCATTTTATTGATTGTTTACTTTGTGTCAAGCCGTGTGCTAAGTGCTTTACATAGGCACTGTTTCCTTTAATCTTCAGAACAATTGTGTGAGGTAGATGCTATTATTATCCCCATTTTATAGATATAGTACTTTTAAGTTAATTAAAGGCATAACCCAGATACTAACCCGGGTTTGTCTGTTTTAAATTCACTCATAACACATCTTAGGATGTGGGGAAATGGACATTCTCATGCATTGCTGGCAAGAGCAGTGTAATGTATTTATCCTTAAATATGCACCTATCCTTTGACACAGCAATTTTACTTCTAGAAATACTTCCCAAGGAAATAAGTCATGTAACAAATATTTATGTCAAGAGACATTCACTATGTTATTTATAGTTGAGAAAATCTGACTACCTAAATGTCCAGTTAAAGAAAATTGTTTATATAAATTGTGATATAACCATATAGTGAATAGGCCATTAAAAGTAATATGGGAAGATGTTTGCCATATATATATTTTTTAAAGTTTATGTATTTATTTTGAGAAAGAGAGAGTGTGTGCATGGAGGACGGGCAGAGAGAGAGGAGAGAGAGAATCCCAAGCAGACTCTGCACTCCCAGTGCGGACATGGGGCTTGATCTCACTCTTCTTTTCTGAAATTCAGGAAAGAGATGGGTATGTCCTTTCCAGAAGTATGGTTGTAGCAGTGGGCTTGGAGAGAAATGGCTAGACTCTGGATATACTCAAAAGTAGAAGCAGAATGATTTCCTGTGAGACTAGATGAGGGTTGAGAGTGAAACAGGAAACAGGGATGACTCCAGGGCCCTGAGTATCCAGAAGAATGAAATTGCTATCAACTCATATGTTATGGTGGTTTTTATAGGATCTCCAGATTCTTTGGTGTTTGTCTCTTCAAGAGGGGGACTTAATTTTCTTTCCTTGGAATGTGGCGTGGATTTAGTAACTTGCTTCCAATGGATAGAAGATGGTGGAAGTGATAATGGATATGACTTCAAAGCCAGGTCTGAAAAGGCATTGTTCCTTGCCCTGTCTTTTCTGGATCATTCACTTGGGGGGAAGCCAGCTGCCATGTTGTGAGGATACTCAAGCAGATGTTAAGTAGGTAGACAATTAGATTTATGTCTAGACTTAGTGAGAGATCTGGTCTGGAGATACAAATTTGGAAGTCATCACCATTTAGATAGTACTTAAAGCCATGAGACTGAAGGGGAACATACAGGAGTGACTATTTTTGTGTGCTTTAAAATGTTGCGAGTGGTAATTTCTGGCTGGTGAGATAATTTTAATTTTAAAATATTGCTTATTTATATATTTTCTGGTTTTCTACAATGACCATATATTACTTTCTGCAATGAGCAGATTTTAAAATTGGATGTCTGTATAAAAGGCACTGGTAGAGATGTTAAGATACAGATTTTAGTAAGCTATATAAATAGCCATTTGTACAGCGTAAGGTCTACACTTCATTTCATAGGCAACGGGAAGCTCTGGAAGGTTTCTTGCTGTGCATATTTTCACTGCTTCAGAAATGAGTAAGACAGTTACTGTTTCCGTATTACATAGATAGTAGTTTATAGATTTAGAAGGCCACGGTATGTTATATTAAAAGAAGTTATTTCTACTTTTAGTTTGTCCATTGTCAAAACAAAAGTGATTTATTTACTTTTTTTATTTATAAAAGTAATGTGAGTTTATAACTCTCTTCCATCTCTGTCGTTAACTTATTCCAATTTTTGATATGTTTCCTTGCTTTCATTTTAAGTCAACTTTTTAAAGCATCATTGAATTCATACTGTGATTATCCAGCTTTTTCACACTCAGCATGATATACTTTTCCCTGTTTTACTCAGACTTCAAAACTGTAATTTAATGTCAGCGTAATGCTTCAGAAAGTGGAGATCCTGTAGTTAATTTAGCAATTTCTTGATTGTTGCACTTTTAGGTTGTTTCCAAATTTTCACCATAAATAATGTTTCATTCAACATCTTTGTGCAGTAATCCTTTTTTCTATATACCTGCTTGTCAGAAGTGGAATTTCTAGGTGAAAAGGATAAACATTTTTTAAGGTTTTAAGATATATTGCTAAATCAGTGTGATTTTCTTTCATTCTAACTACGACTAGAAATTTAGGTTGATTTTAGGTTAGGAAATTGAGGTTGAGATAATTGTCTGGGCAGTCTAAGAGATCATACAAATACTACCTAAAATAAGAATGTCCCAATTTTCTGCACTATTCATGTATGCATATGGTATATCATGCATGGTGTATAATATTGAACGAAGCTGGTGTTTCTTATTCATCTATAATTTTTCTATTTGTAAATAGAAATAACTGTGTTTAGGTAGTTTGCTATCCATTGCTTAATAGTGTTTTACTTTCTCAGGCATTGTTAACTCTTACCTATAGTAATCACATAGCACTTTTTAGAACTGCCCCGTTCAGTACTTGGCCAGAAATTACAGCAAGACATTGCAAACAATAGTAAATTATAATATAAATTGTAATTTTGTAACTTTTAATTATGTTGTATGAGTGTTCTGATTTTATTCTATACCCTTCTTAACTTTGTTAAAGCTTTTCCCGTGCCCATGTTAGGTTTTAAGTATTTGTCTCTTCTGCTGGTCTCTATTTCCTTCTGACCAGCATGCCATATTTTACCTCCTCACTATTATAGCATAGTTTTACCTCAAAAATGCTAAGAATTATTAATTGTTGATAGTAAATTAATTAATTTCTTGTAATTAATTTAATTTACATTTAAAATCCTGTGAAGCCTGATTTGCTTCTAATGTATCATTGTGTAGGAAGGGGATGAAAACTAGTATTTACTGACTGCTTATGTGCCAAGGACTAGGCTCTGTGCTTCATAAATGTTACCTCATTTCATTATCATAAAACCCCTGTGAGGCAGAAGTTACTACTCTCCTTTTACACATGAGAAGGTAGACCCACGGAACCCTGGTTAAAATATAAATCAGATTGGGTCACTCCTCTGCACAAAACTTGGTTGCTGTGCTGTCCAGTGTGATCATCTTAACTATAGGTGTGTTTGCAATGTTGTTTGTCCAAATGAGAATAGGCTGTATGTGTAAAATACACACTGGATTTCTAAGACTTAGTATGAAAAACAGAATGTAAAGTATCTTGTTAGTAATTTTTTATGTTGATTACATTTTGAAATAATATTTTGAATATATTGGGTGATATAATGTATATTATTAAAATTAATTTTACTTGTTACATTTTTTTAAAATGTGAATACTAGAACATTTAAATTATGTTTGTGGCTCACATTATATTTCTGTTGTACAACACTGCTTTAGGTGGCTTTCGTGTCACTCAGAATGGTCTGCAAGGCTGCGTACCATCTGTCACTTCTGTTACCTCTGATCTCTCCCACTTTCCCCTTGCTCTGTTCTCTCTGCTCACTCTGGCCTCCTTCCTACTTGAACACACCAGGGTCTCTATATCCTCAGAGCCTTTGTCTGTGCTGTTCCCACTGCCTAATTACTGTTCCCCCAGATAACCACATGGTTCACCTCTCCCCTCCTCCTTCAGTTCTTCTTTAAAATCCCACTTTCTCAATGAGGCCTAATTCAGCTGTCCTATGTAAAACCACAGGCTCCCCTCCCAATCCCTATTTTCCTTCTTAGAATTTAACACTAGCGTACTTTCTATTTTATTTATTTATATTGTCTTTTTCACTAGAATTTGAGCTCCATGAAGGCAAGAATTTTTGTTAGTTTTAGTAGTTGCTTTATTCCCAGCATCTAATAATACCTGACACATATTGGGTGTTAATATTTGTGAAACTGAATTAAAAAGGATTGCAACCTCTTTTATGAGCACATTTAATCAGAAGGCACAGACCTTAGTGCTGAGGGGTTCCTGTCTGTAGATGTTGGTGAGAGGCCATGGCAGTCCCTCAAGAGAGGCTCTTGAGGGGCACCTGGGTGGCTCAGTTGGTTAAACACCTACCTTCGGCTCAGGTCATGATCTCGTGGTTCGTGGGTTTGAGCCCCACATCGGGCTCTGTGCTGACAGCTCAGAGCCTGGAGCCTGCTTCAGATTCTGTGTC